GCCGCCGCCTTCGTCCGCGGCCGCGGCGGAGCCGGAGCCGCTGCTGTTGCTGAACGGCGAGGCGGAGAGCATGTCGGAGCCGAGCCCGGAGAGCGCCAGCCAGGCCGGGGACGGGGAGGACGAGGACGAGGAGGAGGAGGAGGAGGAAGAGGAGGAGGAGGGCGGCGAGGAGGAGGAGAGCAGCCTGGTGGGCAGCAGCAGCAGCAGCACGAGCAGCGGCTGCTGCAGCGACGAGACCCGCTCACCAAGCCCCGGCGGCGGCAGCGAGGCCGACGCCAAGGAGGAGCCCAAGGGCCCCCGGGGCAGCCAGGAGGACGGGCCGGGCCGCGGCGGCGGCGGGGGCGGCAGCAGCTCCAGCAGCGTGTCCAGCGGCGGCGACGAGGGATACGGCACCGGCCCCGGCACGGGCGGCGGCAGCAGCTGCGGCAGCGCCACGTCGGGGGGCCGGCGGGGCAGCCTGGAGATGTCCTCGGACGGGGAGCCCCTGAGCCGCATGGACTCGGAGGACAGGTCAGTGTCCGGTGCCCTTCCCCGGGCGGAGCGGCGCGTCCCGGGGGCCCTGCCCGGCCGCCTCCCCGCCTCGGCAGCCCCCGCTGCCCGGGCGCCGCCCCGCTCTCGGCCRCGGGGGTGTCACGGCAGCCACAGGTTTCTCCGGCCAACTTGTGCCGGGCCCCCGCCCCTGCTCCTCGGGCCCCCGCCCGGCCCTGGCTGGGGAGGAGGGGGCGCTCCCCGACCCCGGCCATCGCCGATCCGTGAGAGCCCCGAGCGGACCCGCCGGGCGCTGCCTCCTCCTCCGGGGGCCTCTTTGCTCGAAGCCGCGGATTTTTCTCAGATGGTGGTGCTTTCGGGGTTCTTCAGGGTTGTGTCTTGCGCCAGCGCGCAGGTGGGGTGTACTGAAGCTTCGGGATGGGAAATGCATCTGTGGATGCGGTTTTACCTGCGCCCGCAACCGGGTCTCTGCTCTAGAGGGAGAAAACAGAGTGAAAACCTCTTAAAACCTGAGGGGAAAAAAATCGAGTTTACTGAAATAAGAGACCAGCCTTTCCTGCATTACGTGTGCACAAGTAATAATCGTGCACAGTGTGAAGAGAGGTTCAGTATTTGGAGTCTCAGAGTCATCTTTGAATGAGTTTTGTATTGGGGAATATAAAGATGAGTTCTTGAGCTTTTGTGTGTTAAAGCTACTACTAAGATTCTAGCTCGATTCTGGTGGATGGGCACAGCCGAGTTCTCACACATGGTTGAATTCTACCATTCAGGTCTGTTTCAGCCTATTAAGTCAAGCATTTCAAAGAACATGGTTTATGTAGTAGCTCTCTCGGATGTTGTGTGCAACAGTTTACTTGAAAAACTGAAAATAGGACATAAAACCAGTGTGAAAGTRCTGTATGCCCCGTTACTAATTTGTCCTTTCGAGTAGTTAAGGAACTTGTACAATTTTTCTATCTGTTTAGCAAAAAAAGTATCTCCCTGCTGGAGTTACAGTTAAGTAATAATTAGAATTTTGTTTTACTGTTAAGATAGTTTTACTGTTAAGTGTGGAGAATTACATGGTTTGGTCCAGAAATTTGTCTGGAATATGTTAGATCAAAATCTTTGTAACTATACGAATACCCATATTTCAGAATGAAAATGGGGCATGACTAGACGTAACCTCGAAGATTAAAACCAGCCCAGCAAATCCCTTGTGAGTGAGTTCCCCAAAACCATGTATTTGGCCTAAAAGTCTTAAGAAGACAGAAAAAAAARTCAGTTCTTTGGTTCCATGAGACTTTTGAGACTCATAGCAGTCACATTTTCTGTCTTCTAAACTTATGCAAGTGGATGTTGGGGTTTGTTTGTTTGTAGGTTCTGTTTGTTGTTTTTTTCAAAAGCTGAGATTTTGTGTGAAATTGATTAAGTATGGGAATAGACTTCTGGAAAAACAACAGGTACATAAAGGAGCTTTAAAATAACAGTTYCTTGTTTTTCATAGAATGAAAGTCTAAATCTAATCCTGATCTTATCCAAGTGTATGTCTGGGTTGAGGAAATAACAGAAATCTCTTGCAGGGTTTTCTGGAAGTAGCGTCATTCTGCCTTGCCTGTGCACTCCAGAGCTGGTTGCTACTTTCTTTCTCGTCATTGTTCTCGTGGTCCTCTTGCTGTACACGGTTAAATCCACGTGTGTGGATCCTTTCTCCTTCCCTGTACCACCAGTACAGACTCACTTGCAGGAGTGGGACTCTGTGTTTAGTGGTTCAAAGAAGGACTACGCCTTGCTTTTAATCTTTGCAAAGTTATACCTTGACCTGCCAGGATGGAAACTTGGGGTGCTGAGAGAGCATTTTGTGCTGTAATTTCAAGGCCTGCTTGTTGTGTTGGCAGGAGAAGAGCAATGCTACCATAGTGCCATTTGTTATTCCTGGTGATGGAAAATTTCATTTGGTGTGCACTCTTTGCTGCAGCATGTTAGAATGCTTTATTATTTTTGTCACATGTAGTCCAGCAAGTTGCTTGCTTGACATTATGATCCAAATGATTGCTGCTGCTTGGAAGGCAGCCACAACATAATCCTGTGCCTTTCAGATGATCAGACAGACAAGCAGAGTGTTGTAAAGGGTAGGGGATGTGCTGAAGAATTAGTGACATGGTGAAATACGAGGGAAGAGCTGGAAACAGTTTAGACTTARGGGTGGAGGTACAGATATATTATAATATATTGAAATCCTGAAAGACTTAATCATTCACTGATTTGGTCACCTCTGAATTAAAATATAAGTTCTGTGACTATTAGACTACGATATTCTGTTTATTAAGTGTTGGTTTATATGGAATAGTTTATTATATAGTACTTCATGACCTTTGCTGACTCCCTGTGTCTACGAAGTCCTGAGGAAGCTGGTGTCTGACTCTCAGTGTGTTGTAAAGTACGATTCCCTGGGGAGGGAACAGAGAGAAAAGGGAAGAGATGGAACTAACAGGCTTTACTTTAGCGTGCCTGGGTTTAGCCAGAGGAAGCTGGTAGAAGAGTGTACTTGGTAAAGACTCTCTGGCTGTCAGCAGGTTTGGTAACATTCAGATCATGCCCCTGGGCTTGGGATTTTTTTCTTGCTTCCTCTTTAGAAAATTTGAATGAATAAAAGGGTGTGGTAAGAGAGCCTGAATTCCATGAGTGATCAAATTCCTATTTCCCTGTCCACGTACTTCATCATTCTCCACATTGTGTTATCTCTGATTTTTCCTTTAGTGATATCAAATACAAGTGAAACATGAAGAGGAAAATCTTGCATATGGTTAAAACGAAGCTACTGTTCAGCAGCTTCTATTTTTAACATTGTAATGTATTTTGAGAGTATTCACTGATAGAAAAAATAATTTGTAGAAAATTTGTAAGTATTTATAATGACAAAAAAATAAATAAAGAGGTGACTATTAATGCCCTGAAATTTAGGATGGATTTTAACCCTCCATGTCCATAACACAGACAAACTTCGTTAAAATATGCTTATCTTCCCTCCCCAAAAACCCAGAAAGGAAAAAGGAAAACCCAGACTGATACCTAGGATGAATAACCAGGTGGCATTTTCAGCTCAGCAGGAGAGTTCACTGCAGTAACTCTAGGACTGGCAGGTAACTCATTGTTCGTAATAGTTCAGTTTTTTCCTTGGGAATTGTGCTAAGTTCCCATTACTGCRCTGGAATTTGTCTGTGACTTTGTGAGCAAGCTCAGATCAGCTGGCTGAGTAATAATAGTCTTCATTCAAGCCTAGTTATCCTCTGGATTTACAGTTAGAACAAAGACTATTATCAGCACGTGAATGCTGCTCATTTTCTTGTGTCTTTCTCTAACTTGAGATCTGTGCTGAAAGGATGGATGGATTCCTCCAGAGTCCTTGTGGAGCTGCTAGTCTTGCTGCAATGCTGAGAAGAGAAACAATTGACAGGACTTGAAAAGAAAAAATTATGATTCAGTTAACTATAAATACTSTAGCTGGACCCAAACAAATGTATGAATTTGGATATAAACCAGCTGAGCTGAGTGCAGTGGAGATTCATCTGCAACTCACTGGTGTTGTTATTGCTGAATTATGATGTTTTCTTACAAACACTTAGTTTACTGAAATAATTTAAATATTATTTACTGGAATGCTTATTATGGAAGTATATTTAAATCTGAAATAGTTTCATCATCAGATTTCTTTGATTTAGAAAGCAGTGGTAGGTCTTGCGATTTTAAGAAGTTGTTGAGCAGAAATTTGAGTAGTAAAGCTGTGTGAAGAGCTTTTGTGCTCACCCTTGAGAATTTGTCCTGTGTCTSTACTCACCTAGAAGTTACCCCTGGTTTACTGTTGTTACATTATCTTTACCCTTCTTAGCAGTTTATCCTTTACTCCCTCCTCCTCCTGACTAGGCAAGGAGCATGGAAAAGGTCTGTGTGAGCTGCAGTATCAGCTGTTTTGCTGAGTGATCTGGGAGTGCTGATTGATGTCCTGGTAGGCCAAGTGTAACAGGTTGTCTTAGGACCTATGTAGTAATCTTTCCCTTAGGCACAGCACTAATTAATGTTCACTTTATTCAGGCAGCTTTCATGTAACTTKTAAGGCTTTTTTTCCTTCTTTTAGTTTGGTTTTTTGGGATGGGTGTATAACTTTTTAGTATTTTTTATTATTCACTAACAAAAGCAGTTATTGAGAGGCTCACRGAATACTTAATAATACTCAGTGACAATTTGAGTTCTTAACCACATAAGATTTGCAAAATACTTCTAGAAATGTTTTATTTTATTCCTATTTAATAGATGAGCAGTTTTGAAAACACATTTTRGATAAGTTCTTCAGTAATAAACTTGTTTGTGCTTTGGATTGTGAAGTTTTTTCATTTTATTGAGTGAAATATTTTATTGAGTGAGCCAGTGTGGAATGAATGGATTGAAAGATGAGAGATTTAGACATGAAAATTCCAGTCTYTAGTCTTGAGATTTTAACTCTCAGTTAAAATGAAGGCCTTGTCAACCTTTAAGATGTGTGCTGATTTAAAAAATATTAGTTTTAATTATAGTCTGTATTTTATCTAGSTTTCAAACTCTTGAAAGTGAAGAACTTTCAAGACTGACCTGACATTGGCATGTGAATTGTATGARTGACATTTATGAAGGCAGAACAGTAAATTTGGAATGCAGTCTGGAGGACATGCGGTACTAATAGGTGTGTTTCATGGATCCATGTGATCAGATTAAAAAGTGCTTCAGGCCTCTCTTTGCTGCATAGTCTCACTTGTTCCTGTGCAGGAAGTGAAGAATCATTCATTAGCATTTATGGCAAGGTGGTTAAGTCGTTAAATTTTTTTTTTTTAGAGTGTGTGTGTATTACCGTGTCACAGTGAGCTGTACAGAAGTTTACCCGAGTTTCAGAAATTCTGCTGAAAATTATATTTTTAGCATTTCTAACTGCATTTATTGTTGCTGTAGTTATTTGCTTTCAAATTGCAAAATAAACCCCTTGTTTCTGTAATGGTTATGTTCAGGCCTTT